ATTTAAAAGAATTATTGAACTTCTTAAAATACACATCTTATATCAAGACAAATTAATGGGTAAGTTTTCAATAAAAGACAGTTTCCGGAGGAAACACTTTTTTGATATATTGTACAACTGGTTTTTCTAAAACACAAAAATCTGTTGTACAACATATGAACAGTTTTTTTCATTCTGGAGCATGGCTCTTGGTAGGTATCTATTTTCAAAATAAGGAGAAAGATGTGTCCAAAAACACATTATTTCAGCAGTAGGCCAACTAACTAAGAAGTTTTAGTTCTGTGTGAATTTTGTTTATTATTTTTTAAATTTTGTCTTGTTAAAACACACAGCTCAAGCAATTTGCAGTACATCTTGTATATTATACATGTGTTTTCCACACGAAGATGCAAACATGAAGTATGACAAAATGTTAACGATGCTCGGATTCAAACAGACTTGAAAGTCTACCGAAGTGGTGGATGGCAATCAACATAAAACGACAGTGGTTTGTGTTTAAAAAAAAGGTGTTACCATCATAATCATCATCATTACAGTACATAAACTATGAATACGCATGCACAATATTCAAACGATTTTATGGAGTGCTAAACACTGTATAGGAGCCGCGCATATAAGCCTTGCCTTCATTGAACTGACATAGAAAACGTAGTATTAACTACTTTTAAGACATGGTGAAAACTTGACGTATTCTGACACACGTATAAAATAAAAATTCAAAGAATTAAAACAACTCATGCATTAACATTTTGGAAACCCTAGATAAGAAACAAGGTGTTTTTGTTATTTAGCCGAATACTATAGAACCACCTACTACAGAATTGTTCCATGACACTTCTCTCAGGGACTGTTTGTGTTACCAAGGATTTTAAAGTCTTGAATCCCACAGAAATCCTCGCTAATTTTGAAGAAAGAATGATTGTTATCAGCTCTTCTCGTCAAATGGATTTGACCTTGTGGAGCGTGCCAACTTTTAATTGATTACCTACTACAGGAATGACAGCTTAATGATCAGTCAGAAAATGAAAATTGAAATGAAATATTTATTTCTATTAGGATGCTGATCTATCTTCAATAAAGAAATATGATTTAAATAATTATGAAGGTATGAAATGGGATATCACATATTATTATTCCTTAAATGAAATTTCTCAAACAGACGGTCTTTTTTTTTTCAGCTATTGTGTTTCAATAACTATATACACAAGTGGTGCATTGTCATACCCTATATCTAGTTTAAAAGGTTGAACTTTATGTCGAACTTTCACAAGTCAAGCGTTCATATTCTACTAAAGAGATCTGTAATACAGTAATTCCCAATAATTGTCCCTATTTGTTGAAGAACAATGAAGTTGTGAACAAAACATGACACTGAATCCACTAACCTCATATCTTATTCAATAGCTCAACAGCAAATAAAATAACAAAAACTACGATCACATAAATATGTTAATGGACTATTCAAAACCCTGTAAACCTGGCTTCAATGACGGACAAGTGGATGTTTCTAACAAACTTGTTGCCTTCCAATCTATTAAATATAGGTTCAATTAGAGACCTCTTAATGGAACTCCGCTTTACATCAAAGTTTGCTGTAAAGTTATTTTTTAAAATATTTTGTTGTATCATCTAATACTGTCATGAAATATACCTTTGAGGTAGGGTAACTCAAATTGTTTGTAACTGTAGTGTATATAATAAATTACCCTATTTCAATTCATATATCATTTCAGTTCATATATAAATTTCAAATACAAAAAGAACAATAACCTTCCAAAAATTTTACACAGGAAAAATGGACTGATAGTGATACCCAAGAAGACTTGTTCAATGATCAGAACAATGAGCAAGTCGCTCGAACCACTGATAATAGGATGGTGCCTCTACAGTATTAGTTGCTCATCCAGTCGACCCTGAAATGATTGAATCCAGGATTTTAACATTGAATGGTGGGCATCTTAACTAATTAACCACTGCCCAAATCCTAATAAACTGTCTCAAAAAAAAAAAAAAAAAAAAATCGCTTCCATTGTACAATATTTGTAAAGAGTAAAACAACCGTGAATAAGTTTCATAAAGAATCCATTTTATGGAGCATATTACAAGAAGTGTCAAATTCTGCAGCTTTGATTTCGGTTTAGAATCTGTTCCCATGAAGCGAATTTCAAATGAAGCATGAGGTCCATGAATTGTGTTTAATTTGCAGTACATTCCTTACCATTTGTATGCATTTTTCCCCCATAATTTTAAGGTTACAAAGGGATGATCCCTAAAGTGGACTTGGTTTGGTGGTTAGTATGCTTGCCTTCCATTCCCATATTCCTGGGTTCAATTCCTGTTACAGCAACAGAAAATTTTCTCCTCACTAAAACAAATCCAAATCCTCATAATGAGTCTACGGCCTATATAGAGTATCTTGTGAAGGGATTGTCACCAGTGTCAGCGGGGAAGGGAGCTTAAGCTCCCAAGCTCCCCTGTTGGACTGGTCAAGCCCTCCACCCCGGCACTCAGTAGCGCAGTAGGACCAAAAAAAAAAAAAAGACTGCGCCAAGATGTCTGTCACAGTCTGATCATGCTATTTCCTGCCATCCAGAGGTCCCTATTTTAAAGAAAATCTCACTTGGGTGGAAGACACCCCCTCCCAAACACTCCCCCTGCTCGGGCCTAAAAGCTCAAGCCCCCCACCCCCGAAATATATCCTACAGCCGCCACTGATTGCCACTAACAAAAGTGATTAAGTTTGCTGTTTAGCAAAACCTTGGCCCTTGTGCCTAAAATTATTACTTTTAAAAAATAATATTAATCATAAAGAATCGGCAAGCTGCAGCAAAATATTATTCCAAATTTTACATAATGTGTGAATCACCCCGATGTACCTGGTACGCTACCCTTGGCTATTTGCTCAATCTGCCCAAGACTTTGTTTTGCTGTGGTTTTTCCAACAGATACCTGGCCTGCAAATCGATGTAAGATTCATATTAACACAGCAGACACTTATCAATATAGACACACACTCTGTGGGACATTTCCGAATAACCATTCACTACTTTGTAATAACAGATTTTTCTCAATGCACAAACCCCTAGGGCGGCAAAATCACCATCAACCAGTTTCAATATTAAAATGATCCAATTTACTAAATTGCTGTTTTAAATTCATGATATTTTGTCGTACGCACAAGAGATCTGGCCTTGTTATTTATAATCATGGAAAAAAATAACTACTAAACTGCATACATTCTTATCTTACTACATGATCTTTGCTTTGTGTATTTCCTTGGGCAGTATACAAACGTGTCTTCTTTGAAGATAGTGAACAGGTAAAACTGATTTATCAAGCCTATGCTTTGGTTAAACCAACAAAGAGAGAGCTATAAAAACTAGAGGAATTTGTTTTCAATCAAAATGGAAATGGATTACAGTTTTTTTATAAGAGTAGGCCTATAATTCAGGTCTTAATCAACACTGATAATCTATACATTTGGAGAACTAAATTATAAATTAACAATACATATTTTTTCATGCATTCAACTTCTTGATTGACTATAAAAACTTACAATCGTTTGATAATCTTTAGATCTGAAATGGCGACAAACTCAATTGAATTAAACTCAAGAAAGTTTTACAAAATCCTCGAATTGACCCACTTTTGTCATTCATGTTTGGGCAAAAACCAAAAAGAATGTGCGAAAACATGCGTCTTATTTTATGGTCTTTGTGTGTCAATATTTTGAGCAAAACATTTTTATCTGAAACGGAACAAGTCAACCATTAAATTAAAAGTACAAAGGAGTTCCACAAACTTTTGATATTAATTAAAGATATATACTGCCAATTAAAAAAAATCAGAAAAACCTCAGGAATTCAATTAACAATAGCTTATTTAATAGGATCAAATAAGTTATTAACTTCCATATTTTCTCATTCAAATGTTTAAGTTTTTCATAAAAACAAAATAATCGAAAGTTATTAACTAACTTAAATATATTAAGCAATTCATAAACAATGCTACCAAATGGTCTACAAAAGACAAAAAGAAAAGGCAATTATAATGAACAGGACGGAAATCTTTAAATAGGATTTTTTCAACTGTTTAGCTCATGACAGTCATCTTTAAACAAATTGGTGCCCTTACTTCCTGACTTTATAGAAAATGCTTCTTTTTTTTGGCCTTAAAATGTGCTTGTTTGTTTTCTTTTAAAACCAATAGTTAATCATTTGGAAATAAATTCAACCATTATTTTCCCTCCATTGAATCTGTTAACAGTGCCTTTGTTGAGATTTAGCTGGAAATATTTCTGAGCGATGACCAAGTGTGGGTAAAATACAAGGTTGCATGATTTCATGGGAAAATGCTCACTTTGTTTTCATCAGGACCCAAGTGTTGGCCATAGAATTAAGTGGTCTGCTCGAAGTCCAAGCAAAAACCCACCTGCTTTTACTTTATGAACAAAAGGCCTATTGGCCTACTATCCTGGATAAATTTAAGACGGATGATTTTATTGACAAGTACAGTATGAGAAAAAAAATCAAAAAAATTAAAGCAATACTGTAAATAATTCATTTTCATACTAGAAATTTCACAAATAATTGGTGATTTTTTTTGTCATCTAATATCCGATGAAGGGTGGCTTCTCTTTAACTGTCAGATTTTGAGTTTACACCATCAACCTGAGTGTTAACTTGTTGATTGAAGAACAGGATAACTTCCTACATAAAATTCAATATTCTTAAGTCCACTGCAGAATCACCCTAAGTGACTATAATAGAACAAGACACTTTTGGTGCCCCATATATATAATAATTGATAAATACCTGTAACCATGCATTTGTGTCCTTATGATTTCTTTTAATACAGCATCTAGCAGAATCATTTAAGGATGGGAAACTTACAATTTACCTTTTTAAATGTTTTAAAATTGTTAATTTCTAGAGTAAACTTAAGTGGTGTGTGTGGTTGACAAGATATTGATGGTACTGCATAAACACTAAAAAACTTACCGCAGCCTATTTCATCGGCGCCGTCTGGACAGTCTTCATCACCATCACACAGCCACTGAACCGGAATGCACTCACATTCACCGGATTCATCCACAGGACATGTAAACTGGTCCTTCTCACAATTACAATCTTCAGACTGGTTTGAGCAAGTAACTGCAACAAAGAAAATTTAAATATTTATTTTAACTATGCTTATAGGAAACAAATTGGATATTTAAATAAAAATGAAATATTAATCACATGAACCATATAAATTTTAAAAAATGAAATTTAATAATATGCACCATTTAATGAGGATGAGGATCAACATCAATCTAAATAAGCAAGTCTCTAGAAATCAACATTAGAAATACTCTGTAGGTAGTATGGCATTTACTTTTTTTTTTTTTTTAGATAATTACCATGGTTTCCATTACGGTTTATAAATAACTGTGAATATTATTTAGACATTAATAGAAATTGGGTAAATTGGTTTTTATAAACTGTTAAAAATATCAACAAGTCACTTGTTGAAAAGTAGTTTGCTTGAAGGCAATTCCAATTTCAAATATATTTACCATATTCAAAATTATTAATAACCTTCAAGTTTCATTTCCTAAAAATATCTAACTTGAATATTTATAAATGATTTTATCTTTATTGATGACTTCCTAAAATGAAATAAATCAAGCAAGTCAAAAAAAAAATATCAATCTTTTAAAATTCTAATGCAGTAAATGATCAGCAATGTTGATTTTGCTTTCATGAATATATTTGTAATCTAGTACGATTCGCACGAATGTGAATCTAATCTATTAATCTTTAATAAACCTAACTAATTCCAATGTTCTTAGACAAAATTCCTATATAGCAGATACCTAAAACCTGTCACATATTATGAAATTTAAGCATTAAGTTTAAAGCTTGTTAACTAGATTCGAGGGATAGTATGTATCAAATTACCATATCTGCAATTCATACACATGAATGTAAAATGGTGAGATATAATAAACTATAATAATTTTCAAGTGGATGCAACAATCTGTTCATATTGTTATTCATTACCGTACTATTTAATAATTCATTTTCAATATGTGGATTGCAATGGAACAATATTTCACTAAGATACATATGTGAGGTCTCACTACAAAATAAGTCTCATCGATAGAAAATCAAAAAAATGGGTTTATTTTACATTTTGGTAGATCACATTATAAACTTTAATTTGGTCTTTGAATAGCTTCTCTAGGATAAATAGAACCAGGTTTTGAGAAAATCAGCCTTAAAGATAAACTAACCTGCACAAATAATAGGACTAGAATTACAGAATATGCAAAGAGAACAATGTTTTAGTAAGAAAATTCACTTAAAAAGTACACAATCATAAAATATAAGTATTAAGTTATTCAAAAACATTAAAATTAAAATTTTGTAAAAATGTTGCCTTTGACCTATTTTGGTAAATATCTCAATATGATTTCACCACTGATGCGTCTCATTTTGTGGCGAGACCTCACATATACTTAAATTAACTTTTCTTAAGATATTATGGAAGGGACTAGTTGGTGGTAATAAAAAAAGTAAATATAAATAATAATTAACTATAAAAATAATATATTCCCTTTAACCAATTAATATATGGGTTCCCCCTTCAATTAAAGAGCGCTTTCCATGGTCTTTAGCGCAGCTTTTGTCTCTATTTAGAATAAAAAGAATAAAAGAAATTTGTTAATTTGAGACCACAGAAAAATGGTCTTTAATTGGAGATAGTCGCTAATTCATGTGGTCTTTAAAAAGAGGGAAACATGTATTATAGTATTCGTAAGTTTAAGGTCAATAAAGCACCAATACTTAGGTCATATTCTGCCAGCACAATATTAGACATGCTTTCTTTAATTGATTTAATTATCAACCTCAGCCAAGATTCAAAGAAAAAACAGTTTTTCTACCTAAAATTAAGGATAATTTTTTTCTAATGAAGATTACAATGCCAAAAAATTGAAAGAGAACACCTGATTATAGTCTAATATATCATAAAATATAGAGGATCATTTAAATATTTACTAAGTAATTAAAGAAAGCTAATAAAAAAACTTTTCCTTTACATCTAAGGTTTTCATTCTTTTTGACCCTAAATCTTTAACTCCTAACAATGATGAAGTATGTTTACCTGCAAAATCAACAGGTATCTATAATGCACATGTCATAAGCCACAGGTGTACAGGTAGAGCAGATTCATTATTATCTTGTCTAAATACTCACTAAGGAATCTAAACAAGTTTACAATGCATTTAGCATAATTCCAGATTAACAGGTTAATCCTGAGTAACTACTTTACACATGAAGTTAGTGTTGTTTAAAGTTTTTGCTTTTCACCATTAGACCAGCTAATGACACTAGGAGGAGGCTCATGTAATAGTCAGTAGTCTAATGGAGTACTATACACAACCACCTCCTCTCCACTACTACATGCTAAGCCTAATACTTAAGAATGAATAAATTTAAGATTCAATTACTTAATATTGAATTCTTCCTCAATATTCTCAATACTATTATAATAAGAAATGTTTTTAATATAAATATATGTTATTTACTTTTTCAATGTATTTCATTGTTTTGTTTTTTTTTAAGACTGTAGTATAAATGATCTCAATGTTATAAACAATGTCTTGCATAGTTTCCTTAATAATTTATGTTTAATTAATGACTTAGCTAACAATATTATGTTATAAGAACGTTGTAATAAAGTTACAGTTTGGTGTTAAAAAAGTTATTTTGTAAAACCATAAGTACGTACATATAACCTAATTTCATGTCATAGCGTTTAAATGTTCCGACAACGATGTGCGAACTAAATTGTGTGACATACCAAACCACAACGTCAGCGAACGTTTTGTGTTTGTTGAGAGTTTAATTGGGCTACAACTGGGGTCATTATGAAAATACTTTTCGTTAAATGAAACTTATTAACGTTAAAATTGAAAATATAAAGTGGTACCACTATAATATAATGAGTGTAAATTACTGTAGATGAATACCTTGTCTTACACATCAACATTCACTTTGCATTTTCATCTGACAGATTTCACAGTACAACTTTTCTGAGATTCTAGGGCATAGGCTATATCTATCTGATTTATAGCCACAATTACTATCAACATCCCATCAAACTGTGAACCATCGTGTATGTAACATAAGCATTGTTATATGCACGGAGGTATAAAATAATGACATGAAGCTTTAGTAGACATTAGCGAGGATTGAAGAAGGTACCCTGCATTGGAAAGCAAACACCATATAACCCGGGGTCACACTGCTACAAATATCAATTAATGATTTATCAAATTCTATCAATTCAAATCAAATTTAATTATTTATTTTTTTTTCTTTTTTGTATATCTTGGTTTATCAGGCCTGATGTTACCATCAATATTGATGAGAGGCAGCCACAATATTTATTTGATTTCTAAGCCATGAAATACTCGCACCCTGTCAACAGTGCAAGCTGGGGTAGCTAATCATAGCCGGCCGAGAATGGTCAGTGTGTGGTTCGAAACCTCGACGAGGTTCACAACCTGAATGGAAATCGCTGCGCCTAACTTGCGCCTAACCGCCTCCCCTAATTTGTTCAAAAGGAAATTACATTGAGAAAAGTCATTGCTCATGTAATTAAAAATACATCAGTATGAAAATACAAATGAAAATAAAGAATTATTAATTTATAAGTTATAAAATACATACAAATTTAAGAAATATCAAGTACAGTATATACAATTTAAATACAATATAGAAAAATTAGTAGGGTAATTAAAAATTGAATAAAAATATTATATAATTACTGGGTTAATTAATTGCACAATGAATGCGAATAAATTGTGAATAAAAAAGCAGTATAAAAATACAATATAATATAAAAATAGATTGTCTTATAAAATTGTATAAAAGTCTATATAAGATTGTATTAAGGTGTATGTATTACGGTGTATTGCACAAAATATACCTCACATTACACGAATGATTGAAAAGAATACTAATCATTATTTACAATACAACAAAATATATATATAGTTGATTATACATAGTTGATTACTTTTTAGTAAATATTTGCAAAACTAATGAAATGAGAAGATATATAATAGTATCGTTTACCCAACTAAACATCATTTTCTGCGTCTTTAAACTGAAAATAAACTCTAGCTAAAGAAATGATTTGTAACCATTGATTATAATTCTTTATGAAACAATATTGAAAGGGCAAATTCCAGTAAATTTCACCTGTAAATACTACGAAAGAAAAGCATATTTTTTTAAACACCTCAAATTATGACCATGCTTAGGTACTGATAAAGAATTTCCTGATTTGATATAAATTTGTTTGTTAATACAGATCTGTTTCTTTTGCACTAAGTACCTGGAATAGACCTTTACCGGAATGTCAATAATACTGACCAATCAGAAGCACAGGTGTTGTCCCACAAACATACATACGTGGTATACGTTGTCATTTATTAGGACAAATTATCAAAGGAGCAGGGGTTTAGCATAATAATTATAAAATTAAAAAAGAAATTTCAGTCATTAAAAATTAAATTTAAAAGACTGTTATGTTATAATATAAATATATGATTTTATTTTGACAAGGATATAATATTTTTCCATCTTCCAATTTTTATCCATAATATATAATTACTTCATATTTTATACTAATTAAGCAACTGAATTTATAGACATACAAATAAAACTGTCATAATAATTGAAAGGCCTCATATATGTAAGTGTTTCATTAAGTGACAAATTGATTTAATGATTAATGAATTGTTTGGTTGATTAATTGATTATATGACCAACTGCTTAATTGACTAAACCATTTTATCAAAACCCTACTTTACACAGACTTCTCATCTACCAAGATTATAGTATTCTTATTTTCTTTTTACTTTCCCTTAACACTTTCCCTCGGGAACAGCAGTAAACTCAGTCAATGACCTTCTTGTTCAACACAGAAATTTGCTGTGAATAGCACGAGTTACATCACTGGGGAATAGCAGAAGAATTAGATTTTATTATAGTGCTTTTTCCCTCATCATTTTCAAAGCTTTTTAAGATGTGGATTTAGGAAGATCTACTAAAGTGGAGTAGTCGACAAAGCCTTGGTTCAGGTTTCACTCCTCTTG